GCCGCTAAGTCGGCGATGCGCACCAGGTACAAACTCCGCACATGCCTGGGCGGGGTGGGCTACCGGGCGCCCTTGCCGGCGAATAGGCGATTGGGGGTCTATGCCCCTGACCGCCTCTTTCGGGAAGCAAAGCAGTACCGAAACTCGGGCGGGCGGTAATGGGGGGCGACCCAAATGGGGGGGGGGAGGAAAGGGGGCCTAAAGGTGCCCTTTAGGGCCCCATCTGGGGGACCTGCTGGCTCCAAGAGGGGCCCTCAAGGGCCCCGTCAAGGCCCCTTTTTTCACCCCCCTTTTTGGTCACCCCCCATTGCAGCCCGCCCGACAAACTGTTTCCCCCAGGGCCCCAGGACCTCTCCCAGGGTACGTTCTGACCAGAACTTCGGGGATACTCCAGCCGTGGCCACGAGGGCCCTCCAGGACGAGCAGCAGTATCGGTTGTTCTTCCTCTCCTGACCCTGGCATCTCCCCTACGGCCGGGAACGTTTGCTTAGAGTGTCGCGGCGGCGGCCCGGCGACACGCCATCCCCTGCAGCAGGATAGCGTGTCGCTCTGCTCCGCGGAGCCCAAGGCTGGGAAAAGCTCGGGACGCTGACGCCAGGGGACCGGGACGTGGGCAGCGCGCTGCGCCGCAGCGCGGTGGGCCAGAGCGAGCGGCGCGACACGCCAAGCCCGGGTTCCTGACCGTGGCGAAGCCCCTGACGGTGAGCGTGCGCGCCGCCGCAGTCGGCGCCGGCGACGCTTCGAAAAGCCCCGCGGGGAGCGCGCCGTCGCCGCGCTCGCCCGCAGCGGCGTCTGGGGCCTGCGGATCGCCCTCGGGCGCCGCCGCCTCTTGCGCGCCGCGCGCGCGCCGCGCCGCGCCGCGGAGGGCCCTGCTGCGGCCCCCCCTCATCCTCCATCCTCCTCGTCCTTGTCCTCCTCCTCCTGCTCCCTCCTCCTCCTCCTCCTCCTCCTCCTCCGCCTCCTCCTCCTCCTTCTCCTGGTGGCCCAGGTCAGGCGCCAGCGCGAGCACCACCCCCGAAGCGGCCACACACCCACTTCCTTCTGCGGGGCGCATACCCCCCCATGGATCGCGCGGGCCTGGCGGCGGCAGCGCCGCGATGGCAGCAGGCCTGTTACGCATAGTCCTGTACAACTCGCTGCGTGCGAACACCCACTCCAGGCTCTTAGATATTGCGCACGAGTTGGGCACCAAGGATGTGATAGGATGTGTTGGAACTCAGCTCAAAAGCAGAGCAGATGTTATGGAGGAGACGCGTACGGTGAGCAGATATTATACGATTGAGGCGGGCTCCTCTTATGGCCAGTTCACTACTAGAAGTTGTGGAGTATCTTTGTTATTGAGGCGAACGAGATTCCCCAGACGCTGTGTCAAACGTATTTTCGACGTGCCGAAGAGTATCAGAGGACGAGCCCCTGGAGTACTGCAGGAGTCTCAAGGGCTTAAGTTTAGCAGCATCCTTGCATACTGTCCTCCCAGAGAGACCTCGTCAGGCAGACGGCAGCATTATGACCGTGGCATTGAGCACTTACTCAAAGGGATGTCCGAATCGATGGCTGTGATACGAGAGCCGGGAGCAGTACCCATCATGTTGACGGATCTGAACGGAGCACTGCCGCACAGTCCGCTCGACAAAGTAGCGGGCACACGTGGGACAGGCAAAATCACGCCTTCGTCGGCGAGACTCAGACCCTACTTGCACGGATAGGAGATGACTAGCGCCTCGATTCACTACAAGGGACCCCCGACATACGTCTGCGAGAAGGGCAGCTCGTACATCGATCACGTGCTCATACCACAGGAGATGCTGAAGACTGCAAAGCGCGTACATGTCTTGTCGAACTCAGCCAGACGTCTACAGCTGATCAAGTCTCGCGAGCCTCGTGACCACAGGCCCGTGTTGATCACAACGCTGGCTCAGATTTCCAACGAGCCCGTGCCGAGGCGCCCGCCCAAGCCCAATCGAGAGGCGCTTTATCAGTGCGTGCAGAGGCGAATGGAGGCTTTGAAGGCGAAGGAGGCAGAAAGAATGAGGCTTTGAAGGCGATGGAGGAGCAGATCAGCCAGGTGGAGGAGGAAATTCGAGCAGCAGCAGCAGCAGCAGCAGCAGGCAACGTAGACAGCATGAACGAGCTTTTGATTCGCACCTTGAACAAGGCAGCGGTTGACCAGCTGGCAGAGTCCCCGCTGTACTCAAAGAGCCACAAGCAACACACTAGGGAGATAGCCAAGCTACTGCATGAGCGCCGTGCGTTAGGAGGATCAGCTGGAGGAACGGAGGACATAGAGGAGCTCACGGATAGGATAAAGAACATCAGCAATCATGTATATAATATCGGAAAGAAATACAAGAACGACGAGCTCGAGAATTGAAAGCAGCAGCCAAAGAGCCAAACAACTATCTCGTGCAAAAGTTGGCTGGACTCCTAGCATGTAGAAGGCGAGGCCTACGCCAGAGGAAGTTCGCGGCCATCGTCAACAGCTCAGCGTCTGCCAGAGCGTGGGCACATCGAATGGGACTCGACCCGCTGGCTGGAGGCTGTCGCGCGGTCGAGAAGCATCCCATGCAGACTAAGCAGGATATCGACGAGGAGGAGAGGGGGGAGATGGAGGAGCCCGAGGAACTATATCAGGCGGCAGAAGATTGGGGCCTATTGAGTAGAGCTGTGTGGAGGCTACGATTCTGGAGGACGTGGCCAAGGTGGTCCCTATCGCCCGAGCTCTTGCGCCTGCTTTTTCATCCCAAGTGGGTCAACGAGAGGAAGCCTAAGATTGGCACATGTCTTGGTGCCGAACAGGAGCTTGTGAGTATCAATCAGACCCGCGATTCTATGCAGCTCTTCCGGTTGACCTGTAGGAAGCACAAGAGATACCCTGTCATGTGGCACAGTGCACAAGCAGCACGCATCCCGAAGAACAATCACAAGTTCGATTGCGACGGGGAGCGACTTGTCATGGTTATGTGCTGTTTTGGGCGGGCCTTCCACGCTGCTGCACTTGCACGGAAGTACCCTCAATGGGAACCTCCCAATTGGCTTCACGGGGGATTCAGGAGGAGGAGGAGGAGGGAGACAGCCATGGGAATTCAGCTCGCAGGATCATATCGTATGCAGGCTGCAGGTATCACACACCTGTTACGATGTCATGCTGCTACGGACGCGCATTACACGATCAAGCACGACATGTTATTGAACAACGAAAATTCATGTTATGCACCAGTAGATGGGCAGTGCATCGTGGATAGGATTCAGCACACCACGTTCCTCTTAGAGGACGAGAGCGGGTCCTTCTGGCAGCAGGCGAGGTCGGGCCTGTTCCCTGTCGACACGGGCGCCACCCCGCTTTTCTGCAAGAGCTACCCTGACCCCATCATGGGGAAAATTGCAGATTGTGCAGTTATCCGGGGATGGTACCCCTTTGTCGAGGCAGCAAGGCCATGGCAGCCTGACTATCCCGAGCAGTTTGCCCTCACGGGCTATGTAAACGATTTAGCCAACAAGGTTTTGGAGGACGGAGAGGGGACCATGGAGGAGACGATCAAGAGAGGGAGCGAGGAGGAGAACAAGCCAGTAGACGATGGACTGTGCATTGTGGGAGCAGGGCAAAACGTATCAAAGCAGGAGAACGTCTGATATTTTCGCGGCCGTGGGGCCCATCAGCTTCAGAGGAGAATGTGCGCAAGGGAAGTTCCACGGATCGCGGGAACCACAAAACATCACATACGCTACCTGGGAGGCCTACAGTCGGCCACGTTTACGCCAGGACCTGAGCTACAAAAACGACTGGCAGCGGTCAAGGCCTCGTACTACCATGGGGCGCTTCTGGTTCAACCAATCCCCCTTCTCCACCAAGCGCACCATGATCAAGGGGCTCTTGATCAACACTGCCCTCTCTGGGCTCGAGGTCGCAGTGCACGGCGCTGGACTGCTTAGAGAAAAAGATCTTCGCCATCTTCAGAGTTTTATCTTGAAGAAGTGTCGTGCGATTCTTCATCGCACGGCCAGGTGGGAGGAGGAGGCTAACCACATGAGGACGATCACACATGAGGAGGTCATGAAGAAGTTCAAGCTTGCTCCCCTTTTTCTGGACCTCAGAATACCACGGATCAAGTGGTTACAGGAGATGGTGTAGAGCAGGGAGGACAACTCACAGTTCCTAGCGACGGTTGTTGGCCAGACCAGATTTGACGGGCCCGTGTTTGAGGAAGGGCGAGTTTCAGAGCAGGCCAATCCTTGGGCTCGACAAGCCCAGCAAGACCTAGATGTGCTCATGGCCACGGAATCGGGCGCCAGCTTACACGAGTATCAGAGCACGTTTGATTTTTCGTTCACGGGTTGCAGCGAGTTTGTGAGGCTCGACGTGGACGAGCTCCGCGCAAGGCTTGTTCTTCTCACAGACTCCGCCACGGGAACGGCCCAGGCTGGCGCAGGCGGAGGCGAGTACAGATGCAGCGAGTTGAATGCAGAAAGTACGGTGTGCGGCACAACATGGTCCACACAAAAAACAGCTGTACGCACACATATAATCTACGTCGGGGGGCACGCACGGCAAATCACACATAAGCAAAGTACGCACGACGACGAACTGTTGCATAATATGCGAGAGCACGTTCAGGGACAAGGAAATCGCAACGCAACGCATCGCAGCGAGCATGGTTCGAGGATATTGTCCGAAGTTCAGGACCCGATTTGCTAGCGCACTGGAGGAGCCCGATTGTCTCAGGAGCCCACTCCGCCTCGACGTACACGAGGCCGTAGCTGCTTTCTTCCAGCACTGTCGTGCACACATTCAACCGCTTCTGTCACCGTCGCTTCACCTACGAGAGTTGCAGCAAGATGGTGGAGGAGGCCTCGAAGCCGTGGCTCGCTCGCCCCGGTGCGCTGGCGGCCAGCTCGAGGGCCAGCATCGCAGGCAGCGCCGGGGCCAGGAAGTTCAGGGGCGGGGGCGAGGACGAGACTCTGGAGGACGAGGCCGAGCTGGACGGCACGATGGCGGTGATGCAGTCGCTACTTGTACAACTCGAAGGGCGAGTAGAGTACGCACGCAGGAGAGCGAGGTGCACAGAACAGTACTGATCGTCAGGAAATCGCCCATCGTGAAGGCCATCAGCGACAGTTTCCAGGCGTTCGTGACGAAAAGAAAGACGGAGGAGGAGGGAAGGTACATAGGCACGCCAACGTTCCACTGCCTTTTCGGGGCTCTCGACGCGATCTTGAACTTCGAGCACAAGGACGGATCCCTGCGGATGGCCTGCGTGTTGGAAGCACTCAAGCGCCTCAAGGAGAGGCTCGAGACGGGCACGCCTCAGGACGCAGAGAAGTGGATCCGCGAGGCCCTGGTGCTACCGACCTTCGACAAGCCTGATACGGAGAGCAAGGTCCGTGATATGTTCAGTTTCCAAGGTGAGGTGCCACTCTCGAAGGACCAGAGCCAGAACGCCACGATGAAGAAGGCCATCAAAGACAAGGATCACGAGCTCCACAGCCTCAGCCCGACGGAGCGCCCCACCGAGATGCTGCGCATGAAAGGCACCATCGTGCCCGTGGAGACGGTGTTCGCGGAGGCGCTCAGGAGCCTAGGCGGACAGCTACTTGGAGGACGGGCTCCAAGAGGGAACATGGCGCGGCAGATTGGGGGTGGAGCTCGGGGAAGCAAACGCCAAAAATCCTAGCGGTGCTAGGTTCGCGTCAGCACACTGAGCCGTCGGTGGGTGAGGTGGCCTCCCCCCACGAGCTGCGCTCTGCTGGCTCGTGGGTGCTGATGGGGAGGGGCGGCCCAGATTTGCTTGGACGCAGCCATCGTTCCGTGTACAATGTGTTTCTGCGAGT